ATGAGCAATATTCTATTACATGGATATACCAAAATTTGTTTATCCACTTACTAGTAGATAGGTATTTGGCTTGTTTCCGGTGTGGGGTTATTATGAATAAGGTAGCCATGAACATTCACATGGAAGTGTTTCTGTGGACATATGTGGAATTAGTGGGATCTATGGTAAGTGAATGTTTAACTTTATAAGATACTGCCAAAGTGTTTACCAACGGGACTACACAATTTTAAATTACTACTAGTCATGTATGAGAGTTGTATTTCCTCCACCCCCTCACCAACAATTGTTATTGTTAGTCTTTTAAATTTAAGCTATTGTAATGGGTATTTAATGAGTCTTCCACTAATCCTGAGCCCCATTCTTCTTCATATAGTCCTGCTTCTTGGATTATCCATTAAGCATACAGACTGACTAAGTATGGTGAAAGGATACAACCCTGATCACACCTTTCATGATTTAAAACCACACAGTATTCTATGCCCTCATTCTGTTCGAACAATTGCATCTTGGTCTATATACAGGTTCTGTATGAGCATAATTAGGTGTTCTGGAACTCTCATTCTTCTGAATGTTATCTATAATTTGTTACTATCCACACAGTCAAATTCCTTTGCATAGTCAATAAAACACAGGTAAACAACTTTCTGGTATTTTCTGCTTTCAGCCTAGATCCATCTGACATCAGCAATGGTATTCCTCATTTCATCTCCTCTTCTGAATCCAGCTTGAAATTCTGGCAGTTCCCTGTCAAAGTACTGCTGCAACCGTTTTTGAGTGATCTTCAGCAAAATTTTACTTATGTGTGATATTAATGATATTGTTTGATAATTTTGCATTCCGTTGGATCATCTTTCTTCCGAATGGGCACACATATGGATCTCTTCCAGTCAGTTGGACAGGTATCTGTCTTCCAAATTTCCTGGCATACATGAGTGAGCACCTCCAGCGCTGCATCTGTTTGTTGAAGCATCTCAGTTGGTATTCTGTCAATTTCTGGAGGCTTGTTTTTTGCCAATGCCTTCAGTGCAGACTGAATTTCTTCAGTACCATCAGTTCACGACTGAACACTGACCAATTCTTTTTGGTACAGTTACTCTGTGTATTCCTTCCGTCTTCTTTTGATGCTTCCTGCGCCATTCAGTATTTTGCACATAGAATCATTCAATATTGCAACTCCAGGCTTGAATTTTTCTTCAGTTCTTTCATCTTGAGAAATGCCAAGTGTGTTCTTCCCTTTTGGTGTTCTAACTCCAGGTCTTGGCACATGTCATTACAAAACTTTGTCTTCTCGAGCCACCCTTTGAAATTTTGAAATTTTCTGTTCAGCTCTTTCACATGATCATTTTTTCCTTTCGCTTTAGCTACTCGATGTTCAATAGCAAGTTTCAGAGTCTCTTCTGACATCCATTTTGATCTTTCCTTTCTCTTCTGTCTTTTAATGACTTTTTGCTTTTTTCATGTACGATGTCCTTGATGTCCTTCCACAACTCATTTGGTCTTCGGTCACTCTTGAGATAGTCTCCAAATTCAGGTGGGATATGCTCAAGGTCACACTCTGGCTCTCATGGACTTGTTTTAATTTTTTTCAGCTTCAATTTGAACTTGCATAAGAGCAACTGATGGTCTGTTCTGCAGTCAGCCCCTGGCTGTGTTCTAACTGATGATACTGAGCTTCTCCATCATCTTTTTCCACAGATGTAGTTGATTTGATTCCTCTGTAGTCCATATGGGGAGGTCCATGAGTCACCATTTATGTTGTTGAAAAGAGGTATTTGCAATGAAGAAGTCGTTGGTCTTGCAAAATTCTGTTCTACAATCTCCAGTGTTGTTTCTATCACCAAGGACACAGCCTCCAACTAACAATCCTTCTTCGTTTCTAACTTTTGCATTACAATCACCAGTAATTATGAATGCATCTTGATGGCATGTTTGATCGATTTCAGGCTGCAGAAGTTGGTAAAAGTCTTCAATTTCTTCATCTTTAGCATTAGCGGTTGGTGCGTAAATTTGAATAATAGTCATATTAACTGGTGTTCCTTGTAGGCATATGGATATGATCCTACTGACAGCATTTACTTCAGGATGGATCTTGAGATTTTCTTTTTGACAATGAATGTGATGCCATTTCTCTTCAATTTGCCATTCCTGGAATAGGAGACCATATGATTGTCCAATTCAAAATGGCCAATACCTGTCCATTTCAGCTCACTAATGCCTAGGATATCAATCTTTATGTGTTCCATTTCATTTTTGATGACTTCCAATTTTCCTAGATTCATACTTTGTACATTCTACGTTCTGATTATTAATGGATGTTTGCAGCTGTTTCTTCTCATTTTGAGTCATGCCACATCAGCAAATGAAGGTCCTAAAAACTTTATTCCACCCACATCCTTAAGGTTGACTCTACTTTGAGGAGGCAGCTCTTTGCTAGTCGTATTTTGAGTGCCTTCCAACATGAGGGGCTCATCTTCCGGCACTACACCAGACAATGTTCCACTGCCACAAGGTTTTCACTGGCCAGTTTTTTCAGAAGGAGATCGCCAGGTCTTTTTTCCTAGTCTATCTTAGTCTGGAAACTCCACTAAAACCTGTCCACCATGGGTGACCCTGCTGGTATTTGAAATATCTGAAACAGCTTCCAGCATCACAGCACCACACAACCACAGTAGAACAAACTGACAAGACGTGTGGTAGAAAATTTCTGGCTAGCTCTTCAAAAATGACATAAATTAGCACACTTCCTCTCTCAAGCCAACACTCATGAGCAAGAGTAGGCTAGACTGACAATCTTTTTGGCTCTAAACATCAAGACTATGTGTTCAAAATGCTTCTTGATGCAATATATAAGCTACCTAGCTTTCTATGATTAAAAAACATCTTACAGTTAAAACTACCAAAAAACAATTACCTGTTAAGTACTTTCGTAACTAAATGTCTTTGTAGGATAGTTTATCCACCAGTTTAAAGAGCTCAAACACAGTTTTGGAAAGTTGTAGAGTAAAGCAATGTCCCCTCCAGCCCAGAAGGTGAGTAAGTTCCAAACAGTTTCAGCAGGGAAAATAAGTATGATTTTGGCTTTTAAAAGTGTGTATCACCTTAAAACAGATCAAATTTTTCATTTTTAAACTGTCTTACTAAAATAAACTTCTAAACCATATGGTTTCAAATTCTTGATACTACAGTTACTAAAATATACATTCATTTGACACTAAGCAATATAAAAGATCTTGAATCACAAACTCATTGCCGTCGAGTCGATCCCGATTCGTAGCACCCTGTAGGATGGTGTAGAACTGCCCCACAGGGTTTCCAAGGAGCACCTGATGGATTCAAACTGCTGACCTTTTGGTTAGCAGCCAAGCTCTTAACCACTGTGCCACCAGGTCTCCAACTACGTACAGAAATCCTAAAGAGTACCGTGATTTTTTCTTTTTCTTTTTTTAAGGGAAAAAAAATAAACTAGGTGGAAATGTGTGGCCCCCCTACTAAAACAGCTATCTTTTTAAAAACTATGTTTTGAATCTTTTAGAGAAAGTAGTATTAATGAATTGATTGTTAGCTTCAAATTCTATGAACTGTATCCAATTCACATACATTTATAAAAAGATACTTTTTAAAAAATTCATAGGGTAATGAAAAGGTCTGCTCTTGTTATTTTTTAGACTGTAGGAAAAAAATATAGGTTAACTACCAGTGGGTTTGATTTATGAAGAAATTTAAATAAATCACTTTCATTGTTTAGCACCAGTGAGCCTAAATCTGGCCAAATTGTTTCAATGGGCTCATTTTAAGTCTCTAAAATGTAAAGTAAAGGCAACAATCTTGTTTCTCAAATTCTAATTAATTCCTACCTACAATGAGATTATTCCGAATTGTTTTATGACAATGGCAGATACATCATACACTACTTCTGCAGAATAAACTTTGTTTCTTTTTTTTTTGTTTTTCCTTTCCACTTTCTCTTTCTGGCAAGTAAGTATAATTTAGCCAAAAGTTCATTTCGATCAGAATTTTGTGTTAACACTTGTTACTCCTCTTAAAGAGTGAAACTTCGCAATGCTTTTCTTTAAACTAAAAACGATTAAGACCCTAATCACAGAGAACTTTTACTGTTAAATCTACCTCAAAAAATTGCTTTGAAAATTACTTGTGTAACAAATGTACTCTGTATGCATTTTTTTTTCCAGATAAGCAAACATTTGGAAAACTGTGCCGTCTGACAAAGGCTTGCAGTGCATTTCCCAAGCATTAATCAGACTTTGCATTGATAAAGAAAACCTTGTAGCGGGATAACAAAACCTCAGAACATGCTCAGATTGCAGGCTTTGGAAACCCTCCCAGTTACACCTGTGCAAGTACTTCCTGTTCTCCAACAATGTTTAAAGTAGTTTGGTGAATATCCCATACGCCGCCGTTTAGAAGCTAAACATTAATTTCATACATCATTACTGCTGTTGTTGTTGTTAGGTGCCGTCGAGTCAGTTTCGACCCACAGCGACCCTATGCGCAACAGAACGAAACATCATTACTACCACCCAGAAACCACCAGCCCAGAGATCCACACTAATCAAATCATCCCTCTTCTTTAAGGAGGGAAACATAACCAACCCGACCCCTTTAAAAAGCTGTGTGCTCGAAAAGAGTGTCTTGGAAAATAAGGAGCAGGCGCCAAGGCAGCATAATATTTGTGTCCCCAAAGCACTAAGTGACCCATCAGGACTCCAAATTCTGCCCCATCTCCGCCTTCAAACAACCACGACCCAGTTAAGTGCAGCACCTCCTCCCGCCTCGCGCTCGCTTCCAGCCCAGCCAGAGGCACCTCCGCCAGGGCCGGACGCGGCCAAGAGGCTGGTGACCTCAGGCGCCGGAGCCTGGAGTCCGCCCTGTTGGGTGGAAGGTGGAGGAGGATGCGGGGCAGTGAGGGGAGACGAGATCTGGGGCAGGGAGCGAGGGTCTCTCAGGCAGGCCTCCAGTGGTTACAGGTTTAGGAGACTTACCTTGAGCTGTGCCCTCCTAGCGTGAGGCGCGTGCAATCCAGGTAGAGAAAAACGGGCCTTCCACTCCCACAGGGCTATCTCCCGCTGGCCCAGCTCTGCTTCACGCCGACACCAGGCAGAGACACCAACAGCTGCCACCGTAATCGAGGCTCCCCGTGAACTGAGGCAGAAACGGCCAGCCTCCACCGCCCAGAGCGAGACCCTGTGCTCGGAGCATGCGCACACGCCCCAATACCCAGGGGCCAGTCAGGGCAGTGGCACCTGCGATCAACAGGTCCTTGAAGCCCCGCCCCTCTTTTCGCCTGGTGCTCGCCCCGTCTCCTCAGAGCTGGTCCCGCCTCCTCGCTCAAAGAGCTAACCACGCCCCCACCCCCACCCCAAGCCCCGCGATTTCCCGGCTTTCCGGACCTTCTGTAGCTGAGCTCTATTCCCGCGGGGGTTCGAGGGGGAGCGCACGCCCGTTGGCTTACTCCGAGGCGCGAGATCCCGCGAGAGTAGGGGCGTTCCCCAAACGTGGGAGCGGAGAGCTGGTGATTGTATGTTAGAGGAAAGGTGACCAGGGTTCAGACTCTACGGCTTAGCAGGAAGGAGGGGTTGCTTCATGAAGAGGAACTTATTATTCCAGTGCTTTGGTTTTTTATTTGGTATTTTTTTAGCTCAGAAGCCCGAATTTACAAACTCTGATAGAACGGGTCAAACACTGGACTTAGATAAGGTGGTGTTACTTGAAGAGTCTGTACTGGCCGGCGTCAAAACCCCATGCGAATATACAGTTCCCTTTAGCCTTCTGTGACTTATTACGATCTGTTTGCAGTGAAATGGCTTCCATTGGCGGGAATGCGTATTCCCCAACTGATCGTTTCAAGACCATAAATAAAATGAAAGCTTTATGCGCGTCGACACTGTTAAAGGTTAATTGTGGTCAGAAAAATGTGGCTGCTTCCTTACCTTGCTTTTGAAAAGGATTTAAGTTACAAACGACTACTGAAAATTGGGCTAAGCTTTGTTTGCTTTTATTTTTATTTAATCGTTTCTTAGAAAAGCAGTAAAAGAAAAGCCCACTACCATCATGGGTGTTACAGATCTCTCAATAAATAGGTAAATTTTGGAACTCATTCCAGAACCGGTACAGGTAGGACATATAGATTATAAAAATGGATTAAGTAAACTGATAGGTAACATCTCTAAAAGCTTATTTGAAGAAATAGCACGATAGGAGTAAACCGCTAACATTTGAGGTTGATATCAGCAACAAATACAACTATTTGATAGTACTTAGACTGATGATAGTTTATTGAGCATTTACTATGTACCGTTTACTGAATTAGGCACTGAAGGAAGTACAAAGAAGTTTAAGATGTAGTTCTTGCTCTTTAGGTACATAAAACTTCTAGAGGGGGAGGGGAAAAAAACTACTGGTATTTTAAATAGAAGAAGAGCACCACTAATCTACTTGATCTCCCTAATACCACTTTCTCCTGGTTCTGCAACTATTATGCTGGCTGGACTTAAAATATTTTACTTCCTCTGTGAGCCCTTTCAGCCTGCCCAATACTCCATTTTCTTTTGTTTAATGTTACTCCTCAGTACCCTTGAGCACCCTCTTTCCCATCATGGACTTAACTTCCAGCGTCCTGTGCACCAAGAACTCCCAGATGTATATCTTCAGGTCAGGCCTTTTTAAGCAGCAGCATTCACTTTTGGGACATATGTCTCATTTGTCTGTTTACCATTCCTTATTATTGACACCATGTCTCTCCCCACCCCATCCAGAACCTAGCCCATTTCCATTCTTTGTTTCAGATAATGCATCCAGCTGAATCTCCTATATTACTTTTCCTTCACTGCCTTTATCATAATATCAAATTTTATTGATTCTTACCTCTTTAATTATCTCTCAAGTCTACCTTCCTTTTTAATCTCTGCTCTCGCTATCTTAGTCCCTTAAGTAATCACCATTTCTCTACTGAGTCATCTCCCTTGGACTATTGCAATATCTACCTAATAGCCTCTAGTTATTTCCCACTTCAATCCAGCCTCCATTCTATTAACATTTTTTTCTAGCACAAAAATATGATCATGGTGCTCCTCTGCTAAGAATTTGTCGGGGCTCCTCATTACCAGCAGGACCCTTCATGATCTGACCCCAGGCGGTTAACCTCATCTTCCCCATGGAACTTAAACTAGTTATACTGAGTTCCTTGCTATTTTGTGAATACACTAGGTTCTCTAAAGAGCCTCAGGTCTCAGATGAATACATATCTCTTCCTTAGAAACTTTGTCCACTTTTTTAGACAGATTTAGGCCTCATTCACCCTCCCTTCAACTTTGGACTTATTTCCACAATAACAATTATATTGTACTATAATGATATCTTTGCAAATGTAACTGTTAGTGCAACCCCCACCTCCACTCCTGAGAAATTTGACCTGTGGAAAATAAACACTCATACTACCTCTCTTCCTCATTTAGAGATTACAAAAGAATGCTCTTCAGTTCACCTTGCTCAAGAATTTGATTAAGCCTTAAGTTTACACTTTTTTAATCATATAATTTCAAACTTTCTACCAGTCGTGGCATATCTAAGTACTGACCTTTAAATGACAGGTTTGTAATGGGTCTCAAGTTAAGGATCAGGAGGGTAGAGTCTGAAGCAAACCGAAAAACAGAGAATTGACACTGCACTGCATAATAATAGGGCAAGAGTTTCTCTCAGAAAACTGCAATTAGAAGTGTTGCCAACATGGATTTAAAATGCATTGCCTCTGAGAATTACCATTTGTCCATTAGGGATATGTATGTGTGCTTGATTCAATAGTCACTTGTTGCGTGGACTCAAATTTATAAAGGATTTCTGTACCTCACAATGGTAATAAGATATGAGAGGGAGTGGACTTTGAAGTGCCAAAGAGGACCTTTAGATTGTTCAGCTAAGGTCTAGCCAAAGTTCACGCTACCAATATTACCATACCTATACAGCTCTTCAGGAGCTCTGGTGGTGTAGTGTTTAAGAGTATGGCTGGTAACGAAAAGGTTGGCAGTTTGAATCCACCTGCCACTCTTTGGAAACACTATGGGGCAGTTCTACTCTGTTGTATAGGGTTGCTATGAGCCAGAATCGACTCTGATGGCAACACGTTTGGTTTTGCTTTATACAGCCCTTTGTGTTATCCTGGATTGATTATACCTCAGCCTTTGGGAAATTTACTACCCTGTGGCTAGAAGATGTAATTCCTCTGAAGCAGTGCCTAAATTTTAATGGGCACATGGGGCATCTTGTTAAAAATACTTATTCTGATTTAGTAGTTCTGGTATGGGACCTGAGATTCTGCATTTCTAACATAAAAAGTCAATATTGTTGGCCCAGGAACCACACTGAGTAATAAGGTTCTAAAGGGTCAGTGATTCTTACTTTTGTGTTTTGAAGAAAAGAGGAGCAATGCTAGGAGCGTAGACATGCTGGGATTCCTTGTGAAGGCTTTCAATTTTTTATTATTTTCCTTTGGACAATCAGGACTGTCACAGAATGCGTAAAATTTAAAAAGTATCCCCTCCTGACCTTTTCAACAAATGATCGTGGAACTATTGGATATGTGTATGGAAAAAAAAAGAAAGGAACCATGACTCTTCACATTATACACAAAAATTAACTTGAAATGAATTGCAGACTTAAACATAAGAGAGAAAACTTCTGAAGGAAAAGAGAAAAAAATCTTTGTGACCATAGGTTAGGTAAAGATTCCTTAGGACCAAAAAAGCATGAATCATAAAACAGAAAATTGATAAACTGGACTTCATCGAAATTTAAAACTTTTGCTCATAGAAGGATGGATGTTAAGAAAATGAAAAGACAAGCCACAAACTGGGAAAAATGATTTGCTAAACATACTGCCAAAAGACTTTTATCCAGAATACATAAAAAAACTTCTGAAACTCAATTAGAAGGAAACAACACAATTTAAAAAAGAGCCAAAAGTTTGAACACTTCACAATTGAAGTTATATGAATAGTGAATAAGCATAAGCATGTGAAAAGATGCTGAACATCACTAGTCATCAGGGAAATGCAAATTAAAACCACTTCACACCCACAGAATGTCTAAAATTTAGAAGACTGATAACAGATGTTAAGATCTGGAGCAACTGGAACTCATACATTGCTGGTCGGATGCAAATAAGTTATAGTCACTTTGGGAAACAGTTTGGCAGTTTCTCATAAAGTTAAACATACACCCCGCCATACGTCCCAACAATCCCACTGCTAGGTATTTACCAAAGAGAAATGGAAATTTCACCATACAACAGTTTTTACATGGATATTCATGGCAGCATTATTCATAATAGTCCAAAACTGGAGACACCCTAAGTGTACATCAGCTGGTGAATGGATGAACAAATTACAGTATATCAGCAATTAAAAGGAATGAACTACTGATAAATAAAACAACATGAATGAATCTCAATGCAAAGACTATATAATGTATGATTCATTTATATCAAATTAGAGAGAAGATGAAACTATAATGACCAATCAGTGGTTTCTTGGGGATGGGAAGAGGAGATCAACTAAAAGGGAGGAGGGAAATTTTTGTAGTGATGGAAATGTTCTATATCAAGTTTACAAACAAACTATGGCCTGTGGACCAAATCCATCCTGCTGCCTGTCTTTGTAAATAGTTTTATGGAAACAGCCACACCCATTTGTTTATGTTCTGTGACTGCTTTAGCACAATGGCAGAGTCTGAGTAGTTGCAGCAAGATCTATGGCCAACAAAGCTTAAAATGTTTACTATCTGGCCTTTTGCAGAAAAAGTTTGCTGATCCCTCTATCTTTATTGTCATGGGGTTTACACTACTGTATAACTTTGCTAAACTCATCTAGCTATACACTTAAAACCGGTGAATTTGTTGTACATAAGTTACCTCAATAAAGGCTGTTAAAAAGAACAAATATATTAAAATATTAGACAATGATATTAAAGTAAATATTGCCTCCTATATTGTAATTCCCTCTAGTTAACCTCAAATTTCCAGTGTAATTGACTATACTTAGACTGACCATATATTTCAGTTTGCCCAGGACAGTCCATGTTTAAGCCAAAGTATGACTTTCATGGACCCTTATCACTGCTGCGTTTGTGGACCTCTTTCAGAAAAAGAAAATTAAACATTATATTTTATGACTGCATTGCTATAAAGATGAATAGTATATTAATATTATACAA